CCCTGCCTGAACCCGTGGGTCTCCTGGGGCAATAACCAGCTGCGGACGGGTGACAAAGCTCTGCTGGGCTCCCCTCGCCGGGCTGCTCTTCACCCTCGTCACCAAGCCCCGGGACCCCAGCGTGGGGGGAGCTGGCAGCCCTGGGCACGCTCCCCTGCCCCGGGGCTGCCCCGGGGCAGAGCCCATGCTGGCAACACCTGGCCACGGTCCCCCAAACTCTCATTACTAGCTAAATTGCCCCAGCACTGGGCAAGGACGTGATGCCGTGCTTCGACTGCAGCGGTACAGCTCATCCCAGGAGCCCCAGCAGCGTTTGCGCGCGGCCACCAGCAGCGCTGGGGCTGGAAGCGGAGCCTATCTGCCGTTCCCGGCAAGCTAAAGCCAAGCTGTGCCTGCCTGATCAGCAAGAGAAATACAGGATGAAGACCCAGTCTGAACCATCACGCTCCTCTTTCTGTGTCTGGGCGGTTTCTGCTTTGTAAGGACTACGTATGAATGTTTTAACCAGGGGTGAGGCGAGACTTAGGTTAATCACATGAGCTAGCAGCATTAGCTAGCTACCTTATTAGCTTTATCTTGTTAGCTCTTTCCTCTTATAGGTTATCTTATTAGCTGTCTTCATCGGCTCCAAAAAGCAATTGTCGGTGTGCCCTGATCACAGGCTTTCATGAAGCTCACGTGGCCGCGCTTGCACCTTGCTGCCAGAAGCAGCTGTGTGGGGCTACTTGCGTCCAACACGATGCTCTTCTACAAGGGTTTTGTTGCAGAGAGCTTCAACAGGCTGTTTCTTCGGCTGCTTTTCGTTGCCGGTGTGCTGAGGTGAGGTGAGTCCCGAGCAGGCACGCGTCAGGTTGTGTCCAGCAGCCAGCTCCATGCTTTGGATATGGCCAGGCCTGTTCCTTGACCTGGTACCCGGGCAGCAGCATCTCCTCACCAGCACAAGGATGCATTTCCCTAGTCCATACTGACCGCCTGTTAAGCCTTTACGCACAGCGTTAGGAAGTCAAAGCTCCACAGAGACAGCTGTGAGAGACAGCTGGTTTGTGCTGGCTCCCTGCACCATCTACTGGGCAAAGCAAAGAAATGGAAGCTGGAAATGTGGTATGTTCACCCCAACCAACTGCTATCTCCTCCTTTTGCTTTCCTCTGCCACTGAAGGAGGAACCGCAGGGCAGGAAGGCCTGTGTGTGGCCCAAGTTAGGTCTGTGTCCTGAATGATGGCAGTGGGAGAAGCAGCTTTTCCTCTCTCCCCTGCTTTGACCACAAGCTGCTGAGATACCTCTCCAGCCCTCTCCAGACTGGTGTCTGACCCAGGCTCAGTACTTCTTTCCAGAGAACATGACACCCTTGGATGTTTCATCCCAAATACCAGGCTCCAGTGGGACCTGTGACCAACGACCTGTCCTGGCTCCCACAGCCCCGGACACCTCCTTCTCCCTGGGAGAGACAGGGGAAAAGGCCATCTCATCCATCTTCCTCCCATCTCAACTTGTCAGGACACTGCAGTGAGCCAAATCTCCCAGCTGCAGCAGGGGCCCCGTGGCCTCCCTCCATGCCCAGCTCAGAGGTGATGAAGCAGCAGCCCAGCACTGTCTGCTATGTCCACATGCCCAAGGAGACACCAGCAGATGGTGCTCCCGGTGCACGCAAGCCCTCTGGGACAGTCCGGACCCTGCCAGGGCCAGAGCCTGCACATTTGCTTGCAGGGTACCAAGAGCTGCCTGCCCTCGGGCTGACAAGCCCAAGGCCTGGGGGTTTGCTTACGCGGGACCAGAGGGACCTCAACACACCGCATCAGGGTTCAGCTACTCCGGGTCATGACTGGTCAGAGCAAGGTGTAAGGAGGGCAGATGTGTGATATCCCCAGGAGCCCCTAAACCGAGGACCTGCTGCAGTGGATGTCCCCTCCAGAAGTGGTTACTGACGCTTCAAAGAGCTCCAGGCACCCAGGGGACAGGGACTCCCTGGCTGTCGGACAAGTCCCATGGTACGTACCCCACATCTCTGCAACCGCAGTGTGGCAACGTGACAAATTGGCATCACGGCGTTCAAGGTTGATTAACTGCCCACGCAGAGCAGAGGGTGGCAAAAGGCTAAGACATCTCTCCTCCCTGCAGCGGGATGCTACAAAGCAGCCCATGCTATGGGAAAAGTGGAAGTCGCCCCAAACAGAAGAGGAATTTGAGCACCAGGCCTTGCCATCACGTGCCCTTTGAAATGAAACAAGAACGTTTCGCAGATGAAACCCCCGGCGAAAGGGGAACCGCGAGGCTGACGATGCACCTCCTGGGACCGGGCCCCTTCTGCCTGCGTGCTGAACAAGCTCCCCTCCTTTTTCACCCTGTGGGGCCCGCCAGCCCTTATGCGGTGGCTGTGCTGCATGACAGGCTGCAAGGCCGGTGGAGCCACCGATCTGCAGGAGAAGAAGGCAGGACCTGGATCACCTCTGAGCAAACAGGGCACATCATGGGTGAGCCAGCACCACGGGCTGCCCACCCCGTTACCACCAACCCGCTGACTGGCATCCAGAGGGGAGGACAGCAAGGAGAGTGTTTGGGGCAAAATAGGAGCAGGAGGAACTTGGAGGAGAAGGTAGTCCATCCCTGCTGGAAACCTCTCCTCTTAGAGCTTCTCTCTTCTCCACTATTGCCCCAAGATTCATCATTTTCTCTACATCTTCCCAGGAGATACCTGGAGAGAGGCTTGCAGGGACACCCTGGCACTGCAGGGCTGGTCCCCGACTCCTCCAGCTCTCCCCGCAGCAGCTATCAGAGCTGGCTTCTCCATCAAAGCAGCAGTGCTATGGGGACAGACTGAAACTGGCCAGCTGTCTGGGAGAAGGGGATTTTGAAGCACTCAGTGTTCCTGTTTGGGATCTGCTTGCAATTTTCGATTAGGATGTTTCTCAGCATGAAATCCCACAGTGGGCTGTGCATCAGGTCCTCCTACCATCCACAGCGTTTCCCATCGAAAAAGCCAACATTTACCACTTCCAGTTCCCATGGCACCTCCGCTAACACTGTGCAGACATTTCAGCCTTGACTCCCAGCTCTCCACCTGAACAGGGATCCTGTAACTCCCCATTGAGCCAAGCGTGGACTGGGAACTTGGAAGTTTCCAAATAAGCACCTCTCTTGCTCAGAAATCACACTGTCCCTTTCGCCCACCTCCATGGCAAACCCCAAAGTGCCATTATTTTTCCTTTGAAACTGGAGCAGGCTCTCTGATTCTGAACTTAGGAATGCCAGGGATAACGAATGCTGGAACAGATAGAAGACAGACACCTAAGGCTGGCTCCGTGGCTCCCACCCAGATCTGGGTGCAGGCACAGGGTAGTTGTCCAACGACCTGCTTGTGCAGCCCAAGGGAAACCGTACCACCAGGGGCTGGTCACGCTTGCAAAGTCATGTGCTGTTAACCCAAAAAGCCATCTCTCCCCTGCAGCCTGCTCTAAGCTGCAGTGGCTAAAGAAATGGCCACAGATTTAACCAGAAAACAGCTCTGCCCAGTACCAGCTGGTATGGTGCCCTCCCCTGTCCCGGCATCCCCACGACACTGATGCGCTAGGAGCCGTCAGTCTCTCTGGGGATGATGCAGAGCCCAAACCTCCCAAAGTCACCACGAGCCTGTGTCCTCACCCAAAGCATGCTCCAAAAGGCAGGCTGGGCTTTCTCCCGGACCTTCTCCATGCCTCGGCAGGACCTGCAAGCACAGCTGTTTGCCCTCACACCTGCACACCAGCTAGCCCCTGCGACTGCTCCGTCTCCGCCATGGTGGGGGAAGAGGGGCTGCCCCTGACCTGTGAGCCCCAAGAGTTTAAACACAGAAAAAACAGTTCTAGCATTTAATTACCAACCAAGAATAAAACCTCATGACTTCAACCCAAGAAACAGCTCCTGGGAAGGGGCATCTTCCAATATGAAAATAATGCAAGAAGTAATAAAACAGACCATTCTTTATTAAAATATAACATCTCTGTCTTTCTCACTAGGCTGACTTCCATTCCCCTTTTCACAGGCTTCCCGTTTCACAGCAGCACTTCAGTGTCCTCCACGCAGCCGTTGGCGTGTGGCAGTGCCTGCACCAGCGAGCTGCCCACGGGCAAGGTGCTCGCCTCGGACCACGCCGGGCCCGCGGGGGCTGTTGCATCAGGCAGCAGTGGTACATAAGCCTCCTCCACAAGGCTGCTGAGCTGCTCCTCGCTGGTGCCCTTGAGGACATACCTTGCCCCCCATCGTTCATCGTTGTGGACGTCCACGGCCACCAGTGCTGTCTCCACCTGGGAGGAGCAGGCCTCGGCAATGTCCGCAGGGTCCAAATCAGAGTCCGCTTGGGGGAACCCTGAGTCCTGGGTGGAGTCTGGGCTTTCCTCCAGCAGGCTCGTGTTGATGTAGATAACATCCCTGGACCCCCTCGTGGCAGGTATGCTTTCCAGCAGCTTCTCCAGATGAACTTTCAGCTGTGAGAATGTCGGTCGGTCAGCAGGGTCAACTCTCCAGCACGCAGACATTATTTCGTACCTGGAAAGTGGGAGAGGAAGCTGGTATCATGGAGGATATTACCAGGTGCTAGGCTATGGGATGTACGTGTGCTAGTTTCTCTGCTTCTTGCAGACAGCTGAGAAATGGTAAAGCCCTGAGCTACTTTGCATTAAAGCAAAGCAAAGCCAACTCCTCCTCTTCGGCTGTTCTGTCAACACAAACATGCAGCTGCTCAACTGCAGGACTATTGGTCCAAGCAGCTCTGAGTAGCTGCTGAAGTTCCTTACGGTGCCTGACATGTACTGAGTGGCCAGGAGACACAGCAAGCTGCAGCCCTGCAGGAGCTGTTCCCTAGAGACATCCCATGGCAGCTTCTACTGCTGGGAAACTGAGTCACTCTCTTACTCCTTCTGCAGGTGCCCGTTCTCACTCAGGACATCGGGGCAAACAGTAAACCCCCAGCACTCCTTTGAAAGCTTTTAATGGACATGCACCATCTCATCTGCCATCCAGCAGGCTGGATCGAATAAAACGTTTGTTTGCTTCTTACTTCAAGGAAAGGCATTTCAAACGCCCCAAGCTCCAGGGCTTGAGTAACAGCTCTGAGTACAATTGCTCACCCACAGTCCCCCCTGGGAAAGTCAAGCTTTCCATGTGGTTCACATAGCAAATGGATGTTACAGCTGTGCAAGGAGAGAGGGTGAGAGCTGCAGGACATGGCTGCAAACCTCTCCCCGTGGGCTGTGCTGACCATGTGCCATGCCTGCCTTGGACATCTGTCCAGTGCTTTTAGGTCAGGCGGGTGGCTATGAAGGGGGAAGGACCTCAACCTATGACAAGCGCACTCCTTCGTATGGGATTGCAGGCTTTTGGCTACTATATTGGATAGGAACCTTGTATGCCTCATCGTGCAACTCCTACCAGCTTTGCTTATTTAACAGTTTTCTGTTTGCAGGCTCTTGGCCATGGGGGCAGCTTTAACGTTTTCAGCTGTAATGGCACTTGAGAATAATTCAGGGACTAAAGGCAGCTCAGCCAGCTTTAAATGAGAGCCCTCTCTGAGCCACTCACAAACGCAGACGTTTTGAGGTTTCTAATGTGGCCATTTCCCTTCTCCAGATTCGCTGATTTTAGGAACAGAAGGACCCAGGGGCAACTTGTGGGGCAGAGAACAGCATCGCCAGCCAAGACCTTTTGGCCAAAATACATACTATCTTAAAGAAAAAAAAGTTGGATCCCTTCACCAGATATGGTGAACTGCTCCTATCTTCACAGCCTAGGCTCAAGCTATGCAATCTCTGGCACTTCCCACCACCTCATGCCACCATACTGCAAATAGTCCAGCTCAACAGCCTTCTGTGCAAACACACTGCTTTCTTTGGGGATTTTCATTGGGATTTCTGTGCAACAGTTTGCTTGGAGTTAAAAAGTCGCTTTTTATCTGTGGGCTATATTCTGCTTTGCTCTGGGATCTGGCTCTTTTTAGGCCATTCAAAACTCAAGAGATTATGACAATTTTTAGAGGTTTTGAACTTTTTGTTTCTGTGATGCTTTCATTTAAAATTTGACCCAAACTGTTATTCTGGTCAGCTGCCTTCTGAGCGTAAACCTGAGTGCTCCTGTAAGCTCCCTGCCTGTCAACCCCACAAAGAAGAGAAAGTTAAGTCCTTGCTATTTTAAAAATTCATTCTTTAATAGCTTTTGTTTTGGAGACTGTCAGAGAAATCAAGGGGGTACCTTTCTGGGGTGAAATGGAAGGTAACTCCTCCTCTGGTAATAGGCCTGTCTTATTCCACCTAGAGAGATAGGTTTACAACAGCTGGGAATATGGTCATAAAGGAACACTCTTTAATTGCACCATCAGGCACAGCTTTGGGGGCTTTTCAGCCAAATATGGTGCTAAGCCACAAATCCACAACATGAGTTAGTTGTTGTGTCCTTAAAAAAAAGGACATTCGCAACCGAGAACTGCAAAGGGAAGAGCATGATGACTAACACCCCATAAAAACAACCTCAGCTAGGGATAAGCAATATGCAGGTTAATTCCACAGTCAGGCACCGAGTAAACAGGCTGCGCTGCAAACTAGACGCTAGAGTAGAGAGAAATACTCACAGCTCATCTAAGCAGTCCTCCGGTTTTTTCAGCCTGTGCCCATGGAAGAGGTACTCATAGATCTCATGGTTCTGCACTCCTGGATACGGCGTCATCCCTCGCGTTGCTATCTCCCACATGGTAACGCCAAATGCCCACTGCAAGAACAAAAGGAAAGCATGTTGAAAGGACATTTTCAGGAGGAATGAATGAGTCTTTTCATCGGGAAAGGTCATTTCCTAACGTCCACTGGGCTCTTGCACAATGCTAATAGTTGTATCTCCAACCCTGCCTTCCCCAAATTTGGAAAGAATAAGCAGTGTCACAGAGCAGCCCAGCAGCCCACTCAATAAACCTATTCCAGGAGATTGTGCAGGCAACAAAAGGTCAACGCATCTTGTTACTGGCACCCTCCTGTTCCTCTGGCTTTTGCATTTATAAGGTACGCAAACAACCATAATGAACTGCCGCAAACGTGAACTACTCAACCCAGTGACCCTCAGGATCAGTCCTCCAACTATCGACTCCTGCTTTCTGCATGACCAGCCATGTTCACCTACCACGTCACTCTTGGTGGTGTAGACGCGGTCGGCCAGAGACTCTATTGCAATCCACTTCACTGGCATTTTTGCTATTCGGCCCTGACGATAGTAATCGCCGCTGTAAATCTTCTTAGACAAACCAAAGTCTGCCACACACACCGTCATGTCGTCCCGTAACCTGTTTGGCAGAAATAGTGTCAGAAAGCTGCGGAGAGGCAAAGTCTGCATTACTGACAGAAACAAAAAGACTGATGTGCACGCCTCCAACAGGCTGGCCCTTGGAACACATCGTACGCTACTGTCTCTCCCTCTCACTGCTTTCCACAGCTTAAAAAAAGACAACAAAAAAGAAAAAGTTTGACAAACCAAAATCTGAATTAAAAACCTGAGATTGAGTTATTCTCCCATGTCTCTAAAGGCCAAGGGAGATTTTACTTAAGGAAACCCAAGCTGAATGTTCATTCCAAGTGGTATAAAACCACCGGGCCTCCACTGTTGCTCATTTATCTATGATGAAATGGAAGAAAACAAACTCACATGCAGTTTCGCGCTGCCAAATCCCTGTGTAGAAAATGCCGACTGCTCAAATACTCCATCCCTAGGGCGATATCAACCATGAACTTCAGCAACGTCTGCAGGGGCACAAACTGGCAAGGGAGGATGCAGGTTAGAACATGCAGGTCCTTTGGGAAGGACACAATAGCGCAGGTGGCCATCTTAAAAGCATACCCCTATTCAACTCGAGCACTCACTCAGTGGGGTAACCAGGGATTCAGAGGGCTGAGACTGGAGCAGGGACAATGTGCATTGTCCTTCCTTAAAAAGAAAGGGATATTTCCCCTTTCCACACAAAGGCTGACAGTGCACAGGCCATGCTGATTGCTGCAGAACTGCAAGGCACGCGAGTGTTTGGCTTTCCCCAGGCTCTAACCCATGCTGTCTAATCTGAAATACTTCCTTGTTCAGGGCTACTGCCTGAACTCCTACTGGTTTAGCTTTTCTTGGAGAATACAAGGAGCTCACAAGGGCAGCCGCTGTGGACCCTGTCATCCCCGTTGGGCTAACAGCCTCAGACCACAGGATTTATTGAATCACAAACCTGCGGGAGTTGCACATGCTGGGACAGTTGCTTTAGAAATAACATCAAGCACTGTCTGCCAGGCTACCCTGCCAGCCAGAACAGCCAGTTTGCTGGTCCTGGCAAACTACATATTGTTGTGGTCTACTGTAACAGCATATACCCATCACACCTCTGTTTCCTCCTTTCAGATCTTTTGGATGTAGCCTGCAACTAGATATTTTTCCTCATTGCCTTTTTCCTCGTTGCCAGCTGCCTTGATACCACATATTTTTGGAAAAAGTTGTACAGAAAAGGACCCCAGGGTCCTGGTGTAGAGCAAGTTGACCATGATTCAGCAGTGCACGTTTGCATCAATAAAGGCCCACCTTGTAATAGGCTGCATTAGCAAGAGTGCAGCCAGCAGGCTGAGGGAAGCAATTGTTCCCCCTTATTTGGCACTGGTGAGGTCACATCTGGATACTGGTTTGGGGCTCCTCAGTATAAGAAAAACATCAACATGTTGGAGCAAGCCCAGAGGAGATCACCAAGATAGGGCCCGGAGAACATGGTACACAAGGAGAGGCTGAGATGGCTGGTCTTGTTCAGCCTGAAGAAGGGAAGGCAAAGGAGACATCTTACTGCTGTCTCCAACTAGACAAGCCCTGAGCAACCTGCCCTACCTCTGAAATTGGCCTTTTTTGAGCAAGAGGTTGGACCACAAAACTCCAGATGTCCCCTCTAAGCTAAATTTTTCTACGATTATGTGACTGTGGTTGCCAAGTCCTCCCTGTATCTGAAAGGCTTCAGTTTCTCAGCTGAAGCAGATAACAGAAATAGTTCAGCCCTGGTGAACTCTGGGGCAAGAATCCCACAGGCAGTTGTGGGAGCTGGATTCCACCACCGTCCTCCGACAGAGGCAGGAAGCAGGACTACAACCAAGTCCCCTTTGTTCTCAAAAAAACAAGGCAGGTTTTGCCTGTTGTCCCAAAAAGATACACAGTCCCAGACTCCTCCCAGACACGGGGCTCTCCGCTCCCTGCGTTTGTTACCTGGGGGGCCATCTCCAGCCGTGAGCGAAGGAGGAAGCTGTGCAGGTCACCATATTTCATGAATGGGAGAATCACCATGGGTTTAGGGACCTGCTGAGAGCTCAGCTCAATGCACACACCTGGAAAACACAGTTTGCAGAGTCCCGTGGGCAAAGGCACTACCATCCTCCCACAGATATATGAGACCTGAGTGCTCAGTCTAGCTCCCTAGCCCAAAAGCAGGAAGCCCATCTTGGCTAGAAGGCAGGGAGCAATGGTCCGTACCTAGGAGCCTGATGACATTGGGGTGGTCAAAATCCTTCATACACGCTGCTTCGCTGAGGAACTCTTCTATCTCCCTTTGGGAAAAGTTATCCACTGGAAAGCACAGGAAAGCAGGATGTTTAAAACACAGAAAGCTTTAACAACCTAAATCACTGCTGCCATTGCCCTTTGCTCCAGCACATCTCCCACGTACGGCTAGAGGGAAGGGACCTCTGGGATGACAGAGACAGACTGGGGTGGACCTCACTCCAGAGGTTTGTGCCAGCACTGGGTTTATTCAACACGTAGAAGCAGGGAGCAGCCCTGTCCCATTCACATGGCAGCACCAGGCCCAGGATGTACGGAGGCTGTGGTGTGAGGAAAAGCTTAGATTTGATTAGGGACCCCAAAAAGCCAGGAGTCTCTCATCTAGCAGAAGATGAGTCCTGTCATCTCCTGATGCTTCAAGACAACCTTGGCCAAAAGACAGGGGTGTCCTTTCCCAGCAAGGCTTTGGTGGGAAACAAGCAAAGACCTCCGCCTTGACCACTATCTGGAAAAGGCAGGTGACAACTCACACACCTCTCCCCACATGCCCACCGTGCTTTCCCCTCTGCGGCTCAGCATCTACTCAGCAAAACACCTGCCCTGGTTTGGTCTCCTTCTGGCTGGCATCAGGAGCTGTGCCAGGAAGGATGCAGAGAGACAGACAGCAATCTTTGCCCAGTGATCCCACTGAGCCACAAGGGCCCAGAGGTCTGACTCTCACAGGGAGGGAAAGGGAGAATGGTTTATGCTGTGTGAGCTCAGAGTAACGATCTCCCACATGGTTTTGATTGACCCCATTAAGTGCTACATGGTCTGGAGTAAAAGAGCACCAGACAGGGAGCTCTGTCACCCACTGGAACAAACAACATCAAGTGCTCAAAGGCCAGGACGACTTACGCTTCATGGTCTTCACAGCCACCTTCTGCATGGTGCCTTCCGGCTGGCTGAGATGCCCCTCCATCACTGACCCAAACTCCCCTGCAGCGTAGGAAAGAAGCAAACATTTTACCCACGCCCCAGAGCACCAGCTTTTGGGACATCGCTATATCCTCAAAGATCTGACAGGCGGTAAGACAGAGACCTCATCCCCCAAAAGCTACCTGGGGGAAGTCTGTTTCTCATCAGCAGCAGAATGAGGACACAGACCCAGGGGTCCTAATTCTCAGCCTAGCGCTTGGTCATCTTGGCCCACCACCTCCTCCACATCCTCTGGGCCTGGAGTCAGAGAATGATGCAGAGAAGACTACATGGAAGCAACACTTACACTCCATACCACGTCACCTCAGCCTTATGTCCAGCCCCAGCCCTCCAGCCCTGGCAGCATGACCACTCACCTTCTCCCAGGATCTTCCCCAGGCTGAGGGCATTTCTGTCAATGACAACATCCTGCAGCTTCTGCTGGAGCTCGTTGCTGACGCCCAAGCTGCCCACTGTAAGAGAAGGGAGCAGGAGCTCAGCTCACCTCCAGCACAGACTGCAGCCATGGGATAACCATTTACAATGAGCCTGCGACTAAACACACCAGGGTGCTGCATGGTACGAATAAGGGAAGATGGTCAAGGTGAGGACTTCACAGTTTTGCTACAGCCAACCTTCCTGTGATGCCCATGGACTGCCCAGCCAGAGATGAAGCATAAAAGTTTCATGGCTGACTGGGCAAGAAAGGCCAGCTTGGCAGATGCATGAGAAGCTGGAGGAACCAGGCCTGTACCTGGATACACCCATTTACTGCTGGCTTGTTCTGTTAACTCTGCTGAGATATCCTCTGTCACCTCCTCAGCAATGGAGAGGAAAAAAAACACTTACGTGTAAGCTCAACAGCTCTACGGCAGTACGACTTCTTAGCTGTGTAGCTCACTGCCAGCTCTGAATCATTTCTGCTGAAAGCATTCCTGGCGGGACAGAAACAGAACACGCTGGGCCACATAGTGTTTTTTCTCATCTGGTCAAGGAAGACAGTGCCGCAGCTGCAGGGGTAGGTGACTGCACTGCTACCAATGAAATCAACAGTAACGAAGGAAACGCACGTTTGCCCTAATCTCTTTCATTTCCCTCTTACTGGATCAGTGCCATTGCTTACAACGTCTGATCAGAAAAGCCACTTGATAAACACGGCTGATCTAGAAAGGAGTTAGTCACAGAGGTATTTTGGGGAGGAAATGGGGTACTCATTTCCTAATCACACAGCAGTCTGCACTGGCAGGAATACAGCGCCCAGACCAACTGCTTCCTGAAGTGATCTGTTTACTTGTGTGATACACAACTCCAACGTGTCAAGGCTCTGTGTTAGCACATGGGGCCATCATGATTTTAGCCAAAAAGATGCCACTGCACCACAGCCCTAAAACGGCTGTGTGCATGCTGCTGGAAGACGCTGTGCGACCTCTTTGACGTGAGACCATGCAGAGGTCCAGCTCTGGAGAGGAAAAACACACTGGCTGTTCAAGACGTTCCAGGGAACTAGCATTGCAGGGGAAAAGATATTTCCATAATGTTACACCAGTTTAAAAAGGGCTCCTGACACACAACCAGCTTCCAAACTGGGATCAAGGGTGACGCCTTTGGAGATCAAATTAGGTGTGTTTCCTTATGCAGCTCAATATATTCCCTTACTGAAATGATGCTCTTACAAAGGAATTTATTAAATTTCCGATTGGCATTGGACATCAAAATGATACCGATTTTAAGAAAAGCTATGAGCATCACAATTATTCCCCACAGATAATAGCACAGGGCAGATGAATGCCACTTAAGAGAGTCACAAGGGTGAGGAAGTAGTAGAGTAGAAAACAGTCCTTTATCTACACTATTAAAAACACTACTAAGTGCTGTCCAGAGGGCAGTCTCTCTGCCTGGAGGAGGCTGAGAATTGGGACAAAAGTGCCACTAGATGGACTGAGGATCATCACACTCAGTCATCGGACCAGCAACGGTTCGGTGTTTGACGAGGCAGGAGGAGTTTCTCGAGGCCACAGGGTACAGGATATTATACATCTCTGCTCTCTCATCACTGTGTCAAAATGCTGAGGGCACCCCTCCTATACCAAGTTGCACAAGTCTACTTCCCTTTAAAAATAGGAATAGTGAGCGAAAGGTGAACTGCTGGGCTAAGGAAGGAAGTATCATGCAGCAAAGCCATACTCATTGCCTCGCCACTGGCATACACACAATGCCGTCTGCAGGAATCGCGCTGGTCCTGGAGGCAGAAGCCTTCTCCCTACATGCACTGTCAGATGCAAGCAAAATGCCCCTGCCTGGCTTATCCCAGGCGCTTGTGACCTGCCCAGCTTAGAGCACAACCACAGACTGTTTTCCCTTTGGCTTACCCATACTTTGTTTCCAGGCATCTTTTCTGGATGACCACAGACAAGCAGAGGATCAGTCCAACGGAAACCGTCCCACAGATAAAGCCCAGGGCTATGATAAAGGAGTCTGCATTCCTGGAGGCTGCAGTCGAAGAGGGGGCTGAGGTTACTAACCCTGAGAAAACATCCCGTAACAGAGACAAGGAGAGAGAGTCAGTCTGCAGCATCTTGGGAACGGGGGAGGATTTCTCAGCAGCTGAAACCAAATCCAATAAAACTCAGAGGGTTATATGGCAGACGAGGGCATGAGGAAAACAGCCCTGTGAACAGCACGTACCAATAAGTGGGTTTATCTCAGCAAGGCTGAGTGGCACAGGGAGGGCAAGTCTCTTCTGGCTGCACTTTTCTTCTGCCTATCAAAGCATGCTTAAGACCCCGGTGCTGTATCCAGAGAGCCTGGCCCAAGGGAAAAACATCCATACGGGATGGCATATGGCGTTGGCAGAGCAAGACTGCAACGGGGGACGCTGACCAGACAGGCATAGCCAAACCAGTGGACAAAGAGAAGGTGAGCTGCATGCTTTCACATCTCGCTAGCTAGATCCATCCCTCCACCTGTAGTCCCATTGCACATGCAAGAGGCAGGCATCTCACCACCACTGCCAGGGATGAAGATTTCCACTGGGCTGCTGAAAGGCCCCACTCCCCCCTTGGTGACGGCAGCCACACGCACGGAGCACGTGACATTTGTGGTCTCCATGGGCAGGATGGCCACGCTGGCGTTCTGCTGGGCTTCAGAGGAGACATTCTGCTGGAAAGGGGAAGAGAAGAAAAGTCTGTATTGAGGGAGAGAGCAGCCTACCAGCCAAGGGCACAACAGGAGTGAAACCCTGAGATTTATTGAGAATTGCCCCCTTATTAAGGTTTTGCATGAGTTTGCTTTTAAAAGCCCAGAGGAAATACAGCAGCAGCAAGCTATTTTCGGAGAATAATAGCCTTTCGAGAACCGGATGGGATTTGGAAAGGAGCTGAGCAGTGTTTCCCATTTAACCCTCCAGCTGCTATTGCTCTTTGCTTGTCACGGCAGTGGGACAGACCGCCTTAGCCAGAAAAGAGGCAAGAAGGCAACACTTGAGAAGCGGTCTCGCAGGGAAGGGGGAAAGGCATTGAGACTTGAAATGCCTCTTTTTTTCCTTACTCCCTCCTTTCTGCAGAGCATCAACTCCATTCCCTAAAAATACATATCTCCTAGAAACACTTGGATGTCAACCTTCCTCTCTACAGCAAGAACAAAGGCATCTTTCCCGCCTGACGTTGTGAACTAGATTCACGGAGGCTGGCACAAAAGACGCCACGACCGCTGTAGCTCTGTCCTGCTGTGGACCGCGTGGCGCGTCTTATATAACACGGGGGATTTGACGCACGAGGAGAGCCAGCTCTGTCCGGAGACAGTGTGTGCTCTGTGCTTCTGCTGGCAGACCGCCACCCTCAGCAGTGCTGGTGTTTTGCCTGGTACGTTAGGGGAGTGCAAAAGGAAAGCACCAGCAAAACACAGCCAGAACTGGTAACACGCCTGTTAGTCCACAGCCTTTGTTGTCACAACCAGTAAACGCTTTTGGCTTGGTCAGCTGAGGCTTGTAAGCCTGCAAGCCTCGAAAGCAGCAGAGCCTGGACGCTCGTCGGCAGCAGAAATCCGTCTCCTCCACTCCTTTGCAGGGTGCCTCTGCTGGCATTTAGACGCAGCGCTCCTGGTCTGATCACTGAAGTGCCACAGAAAGTAGATCTTGGGACAGATATTATCTCATTGTGGTTTTGTGTCGAGCTAATAATATTTCCAGTTTTAGAGTGCGTTTCCCTGCTCGGTAACATTGTAGATGTCAGTGTGTTTTGCGGCACAGATTCTTTTCCTTGATAAAAATACAAGTCATTCTTTTCCCTGCAAATTCCCTGTTATTTCCTGATCTTCTTGTGAGTCAGCCAAACAGCTTAGAAAAGTGCCTGCCTCTGCTCCATGCTGACTCCCAGCTGCAAAGCAACTGCTCTGTGATGTGCAAAACATCTGGCAGGCTGGTGTGGACAGCAGAGCTTGGCTGTCCCAGGGCCAAGCAAAAACAGTAACGGAGGAGAACCGGTGAACAAGGAGGAGATAAGTGTTCTTATTAGCTCTTCAGAGGGAACCGATTTCTGTTTACAGTCGGATAAGAGAGTCACAGAAATGGATGTGAAACATGCACAAGCACCACGCGCTGCTCCATACACGCTAGTGGAAGATGTTGCCCTGAGAAACCTGTGCATTGATACATGCTCTGCTGGCTCAGCTCCCCTCCTCATTTTCCTTTCCTTTCCCGATAGCTTTGCTTCCATGGTGTCCTTAGGCAGAAATGCATACGAGATAATTCTCCCACTGACACCACAGAAATGCACTGGGATCCTTTAACATCTCACCCAGCTCTGCTATGTCATTTGAGGACAGAGCTATAGAGATATCAAACAGACCACGGAGAGCACCTGCTAGCAGGACAATGTTTTCAACGCAGCCAGCAGGGCAAGCGAAAAGTGACTGCAAATGAGACCGTCTCCCCATTCAGGCTGCCTCCTTCGGCCACCTGAAGATTTCCCTGTTGAGGGCACGGGCCAGAGGGCGTAAGACTTCCAGGTCCAGCAAAGTGCACGTGGTGGGAGAGATGTCCCATGCCCCGTGGGTCACTATCCCTGGTACTGCACAGTCTATCAAGACGTTGGACAAGAGGCTTCTGTGTGGGATGCACAGCCAGCCTACACATGGCTGGCATCTTGCAAAGAATCACTGTCCTTGTGTTTACGTTCACTGTTACTCAGCAATGACAGCAATTCTGGCAGCACAAAATTACCAAATTTAAAGGTTTCTATGAGTCTTGTGATAGTCGAGGAATTTCTTCAAGTCCCAGCTTCTGGAGCCTTGGGTCATACAATAATTGCTGGCTTAATAATAAAATAAACCAACTTTTAAAGTTTTTTAAACCCTTTTTTGACCAGTTGCAGAGAAAAACAGGCCTGCAGGTGGCCCTGCTCACACAGAAATAATCTCGCAATGTTTACTGTGGTGGGATTTGTAAACTGATCATTTTTTGGGAGGAGTCTAAGCTGAAAAGGGTAGGTATTGTTTGCTGTACTTGTGCCGTTTGGTGCCATAGCACAGGAAGGACAAAAGAAGTAGGGAATATCTGGCATTTCCTATTTAGCCTGTCCAGGGACAAAGCTCAGAGACTTTCTTTTTGAGAGAAAAGAGCTTCATTTGACAGGAAGCACTTTGCTCTTGAGCTTCAGTTTGTCTGCCCATCTGCTCCAGCAGAAAGATCACAGGCAGCCTTGCAGGACGCTTTTGAGCGTCCAGCACCACAGTCAGGATAGCCAATTCACAGGTGCTCCGGAGAGAGGTTACGGGACAAGTATAAAGCCATTCCCGTGTTTCTTAATCCTCTGACGGTCTTCATAAAAAGAAGTGTTGGTCCCTGCCCTTGGCTGTCTGCATCCTGACACCACTATATGCATTTTTGCCCTTCCCTAAAACCCATAAGCTGATGAAATGAATCAGCCATGATCACAACTGCAACATCTCGTCAAGGTCCTCCAAAGGAAATCTCCCTTTCACACCTACCTCTCATCTGAATCCATTTCTCACCAGAGGGTTTTTTTTTGAGCATCCTGAAAGCCAGCATTAATGAGAACTGCTATTTGACCTGGGCTCTAAGTTGAAACTTCATTGCACAAACATTTGACTTGGGAAATTTATAAAAAGCTAAAAGATACAGTCTCCTAGGGCTCGTGTAAGTTGTGGTTTGCAAGAGGGCAAGTCGTGGTTTTTACTTATTGCTTGGGAGGCAACAAACATGTCAGCATTTTTTTTTCATGATAGTCACAAGACTATAATATTGTTTCCCTGACTTCATCATGCTGCATCTATACATGCTCTTTTTTAGAAGCATAAAAGGAGAACAGAAAATGCAGCGACTTACAAAAAAAGAGCGTTGAGTCACTCCTACACGGAATATAGGCCTTCAGTGCCTCTCTGTGCTTTCAGCTTGGGACAGAGGACGACCAAACCACAGTGCAGAGGCAATGACTGGATACATCTGTACGATGTTGGTGAATGTCCTGAGGTCTCCGTTCCAAAGGCTCTCCAACCACACGCAGAGCCTGGCTGGGAAGCTGCATCTCCTATCTCCTGTGCTATTTTGCCCAATGTCTACGATGAGCCAGGACTCCACTGAGAGGACTCCCATATGAGTGGGGAATGACTCAAATCCCAGTGAACAAATTCTCCCAAATGTCCTACGATTAATTCTATTGATTAAAGTGCCAAGGGATGCTACCAAACCCAGACTGCCACTCCAAAGACAATACCAAAGGTTTTCAACACAAGGAAGAGCATCTCACTTCTATTTTAAAGAAAGCAGGTTCTGATCAGCAGCAAGGAGCCATGCTGGGCAAACATCTTGTCTCCTTTAAGCAGAACTCTTTCTTCCTAACATTAATTATATGAGCTACGCACACCATAAACATATGTCAGAGAGACCATTTGTATCCAAGAGGTTGAGAAGAGAGCACAAGATGACAGACAAATGGGCTCAGAAAGAATATAGGGAAGCACTAAGATCAAACCCGACTTCACTGCTTGATCCTTACTGGGATTTTTGCTATGCTTTAGTTACTCTTCACCATTCCCCCAGTGACTTACCAACCCCTTGGAGTCCTGGCACCCGTACCAGATGCGATAGCCCTGCAGTTCCCCGTGTATCTTCCCCAGGGGTGGTTTCACCCACCGGATCTCCAGGTAGGAGTTGGATTCATTGAACGACACTGTGACATTCAGTGGCGGGGTGGTGGGAGCTGCCGGAATCAAAGAGAAAGAAGGTGAAGGGAACCAAGCAGATGAGTCCAGCTCTCATGGACATTGTAGGCTGACCACAAATGACTCTTGCAGATCAAGACCTATTGTTTAACAAAGGCCCACTCTAGTCAATCTCCCTGCTCCCACATCCCTGCAATTCCCAGCAGCTATGCCTCCCCCCTCAGCAGCCTGACTACAGCATGCTGCTGCCTCTCTGCAGGGGTCCTAAGGGCAGGATCAAGGAACAGGGTAAGAAAGACTCCCTAGAGGGCTTGTGTTGCCCTCGAGAAAAGCCATAGCTCAACTAGAAAGCACATAGTTTTTCCTACAGCCTTTAATATTTCCAGCAGGCGACTGCCTGTGGGTAAATTTCCTTTCTCCAATCAAAAAATGTCCCACCTTGTAAGCCCGCATGACTCTAGCTAGACTAGCATCTCATCCAGTCAGCCCTGCACAAAGCACAGCTGCATGCCTTAGGTGGGGAAACCCTTCTCAATATTAGCTACTCATTTCCTACCTCCTTCAGTGGTACTGGCTGTTATCCAGGGGCTAAATGCTGACCAGCCAACTTCGTTTTTGCAGGAAACACTAATGTTATAGTCCGCCATGGGCCACAGGTGCTGGATGTGATACACATGGGGAGGCACCGAGGTGCTAAAGAGCAGAAGTGAGACATTGCTTCGTGGAACAGCTTCCCTGACCTTAATTGAAAAAAAAAAAAAGCAGTCCACAAACAGGGATTAGTCAGCAACAACCTGCAGGGTGAGACGTACAGCAGGAATTTCACATCTGTAAACAGGAAGCAGAGCTCTGCCTCTCTCGCTCTTTCATCAAAACAACATCAGGTCCTTGTTCTTAGATGCTGTCTCATCCCTACTGAGTGGAAAGCCAACAGGAGGCCATTCACATAGCCTAGGACTAGGTCTCAAACAACACAGAGAAGAAACAGTTGTAGCAGGGACAAGGCAGAGGAGTGTAAAATTGCGACCGCTGTGGAAAGGGGAGTGATGACTTGCTCTTTCTTGTGATACAAGAAACAAAAGGAGCGCCCAATATAATTACCAGGTGGCAAGTTTCAAATAAACAAGACCAAGTCCTTTTTCATACAACACATCATTATACTACAGAATTTATGGTCCACAGATGTTGCAGAAGCCAAGAGTATAAACCAGCTCAAAGGAGAGTTAGACAAATTCATGGAGGCTGGGGTGCCAAGGCTATTAAAGATAAAGGTCTAGATGCAACCTGTGACTCCTGAAAGTCCTAAAGGCACTCTCTCCACTGTCCTTCTCTCACTGTATTGACACCGACTTCCCTCTCATGAAACCTTCCAGAAGAACTAATCACAGACCTCATTAAATTCCATCATTACATTTAACAGCATGGATGGATTCAATGTATTAAAAAGAAATCATGCGCTTTTGCACAAAGAGAATCTCCTCACTCCAAAGTAGCAGGGCTGAAGAGCTTCCCTGAAGTGCTGGGCTGTAAGCGCCCACGTAATAGCACACATTGCCTGTGGAGCTCTCCAGAAAGTGCCCTGGAGTGCGTTGAGACCTGCTGTCAGCTGCATCAGCAAAGTTCTGGGAACAAGACAAATACCACGAGAGCAGGCTGGGCCAGGGTGGTGGGAGGAAAGTGAAAAGAGCAAAAATGAGGGACACCAGCGCGAGCAAGACAATGAACTCGGAAGATAACCCAAGCTGGGATGAAATGCCCTTGAAGAGACAGGCTTTCTCCCAGCTCTGGGCAGGACTCATCTCATTTCACCTACATTTTAGCATAAATCACAAGGATAAAGTTACATAGTCCTCCCAAAAGTCTCCACACATAGTCTGAGGGTGGCAGGCAGCCTATCTTTGTGCTTGAGGAAGCAGAGTACCCACTGGGCGGCCTGGGCTATACAAGACAATCTCAGCGTTGACACTGTCAGTATTTTCCAGCAAAAATGAAAGAGAATTGCCTTCAGCCTCATAAAGCAGATAGGACCAGGGTTCAGAAGGTCATCAAGCCATGGCTAAACACTTTGATGTGGGGACCAGCAATCGGAAGAACAGGCAAATAGCTTCTGAAGACACTTCTCAGACGGGCCATTCTTCTGAGCCAGCTCAGTTATCTCTATTCTAAACTTGTCTTTCCAGAAACAGTCTATCAGATTAATGTATTTTAAAAAATCATGGTTTTTACAAACTTAAGCAGCTGAAATTTGTTAGGTGTGATAACAACAGCTTCCATTTTAATCGCCCATATGTTCAGAAATGAGTTACTTGGTGGGTGGGCCACATTACCCAAGCTAGGGGGTTATCAAAGGGGAGAGGAGCAAAAAGGCTTAGTCACAGCTATGTTTTTGCCAGAAATACACCTCGTTTTTCAATTTGAAAGGCTACTTCCTAATGACAGACCGTGAACATTAAGTCATAGGAAATTCCTTGGCCCTCCACCCCACTTCCTGAGCTCCAGTAGGAACGTAGCAGTGCATATTGCACTAATATTAGCGCTGCTACCTTTCCTCTCTGTAACTCCTTTCACTTTTACCTGGCTTCGCACATTATATCCCTCCTGAGGAGAGAGAGGAGATGTTACACAGAAATGGGGGAGATTGCCGAGAGGAAATGGGAGGAGACACAGTCTGCCTTGCTGGTTCTTTGCACTGTATAGCCCTTTGCTCATCAGTAGGTGCTAACAGAGCTCCAACTCATGGGAGGGTTTCAGAGGGTAACAGAAGGGTATCGGACCAGGCTTGAACCCTGATCTCAGTTGTCACCACTGTCACCCAGACCCCAAAGCTTGCTCTCTTCCAAACAGCAAAGTTTCACACAACACCTTTAAAGCAGATAACTGTTTCTATCCTGAAAGAGATGCAACTTTAATCCCTAAGAAGGATTGCTCTGACACTAACGTTAATAAATATAGAGTTTGTAAATGCTGAAACTTTATTTAAGTCACAGTATGCTGGATTTATATCATGCAGAATTTCTCCTGGCCAATGGCTACCCTTCATCCTAGCATGGACTACGTGCTATCTGAACTGGAGTATAAATTAACCAACTATAAAAAACACATCCACAGAAGAGCAAGCAATGGGCTTAACTGTGAAAATCCAACAACATCAAAGAGAGGGAGAGCAGGTGGAAACTCCTTGCAGAACTGCATGCATACAGACAACCCCTCAGCTCCTCCTAACAACGTGTCAGGAGTGGAGAGCTGAGATGAGCCTCCATCTCCAAACCCCAGCAGGAAGGCTACTTGATTGGGAAGCGTTTAATCAGCAGCGTAAAAGTAAGGACAAGCATGTGCTAGTAGAAACTCAAGACTTGCAAAGTCTCCCAAAAAGCTAACCACTTAACTTACGCTTGACCACAAATCCACTGGCTATCCAGATGGCAGGGTCCAGGCAGGACAGTTCCTCCTTCAAAACTACTGGGAAAGTCTGACTCAATTTGCCCAAACAAATGTCCTGGTCAAATCCGTGTGGTTCATGCCAAAGACTGTGCAGGAAGGCTGATTTCCACCCGCCCCTGAACAACCATGTACGAGTGGGTTGTAGGGACAGGGGCCACATGCTTACCTGGACGCTGCAGCTGTTTAAAGCAGAGAATGCATCAAAGCCTGGGACCCAGGATATTGCAATGCTGTGGGCCGTTCTGCTCAGGATACGCACACTAGTGGGTGCAGATGGTATTCCTGCAGAGAAAAAAATCAGTCCACTCTGCTCTGATACTGCCTAAACACTGCTAGTGCAAAGTGCATCCCATGGGCAGCCATTTGCCCGCCGTGCCATAAGGGAAGTGTGCCAGTTTTGTCGGGAAGCAGCATGACACTGAACTCATGGGCCCACATGCTCTTAATTCTCCAGACTGCCAGGCTGCAGAAACTCCAGGCTCCAGGATGGGATGGAGCTGAATCTGGTCCTTATGCCTTGAGCTGGAGGCCTGTGGGACGCTCAGCCTACCTCAGGTGGGCAGGGGGGCTGCATTAGTAGGGGCACCTGGGGTTGGGGGGGGGGTCTCTGGGTAGGCACCAGAGGACACGTGGCCACAGAAATGCCTGTGTGGAAGCATCACAACCCGGATGCCTGGTACAAGCCCATGTAAGCTTATGCCCTTTTACAAACATGGCATGTCTGGCTTCCCACAGGCAGCTCCTGCAGCTCAGTCAGACCGTGAGTGAAATACATGTATTGCCCAGGCTAGAGCTGCAATACTGGCATACCATGGATATTTTAGACCAATGGGCAGGCAGAAAGAGCCATTTTCAGATCTATTTTGACCATATTATGTATTAGTGAGCTGAAAACAGCACTCTGGTTGCTTAGAGCCAATGACATATTTCGGGGAACACCTTCCTTGCACTGCCAGAGTTGTTCCCATCAGGAATGTTGAGAATTTCCATCGCTTCCTATGGAAGATATGAGCACAGCCCTGGCTGTGAAGGAAGGAAAAGAGCGATAAAGCCCTTCCGAAACCTACTCCGAGTTTGACAGTTCTGCTTTCAAATGTGCTTTTTGGAGCTTCCTCCCATGGCTGCAATACTGGGGTTGTGCTTGTTCCAGATGACAGAATTGCACTGGGTGACCATGCTCTTACGTGCACCCTGTTTGATTTTCAAATGTAGGTTTCAAATGGGGAAAAATAAATATGGAAATCCCAAAAATACGCCTGTCCGCTAGTGTAAGAACGACTATGGGAAAAGTGGAGACCAGAACAGCTCCTGCTTGGATCCATGACTGAACAGGTAAGGCTGTTGTCACGTTCCTGCTTACCTTTCACATTGACCTGCCCTGGGTTCGATGCAGTCAGCCCTTTACTGTTGTGAGCCTCACAGCTGAACAGCGCTGTTTCGTTAAGGCCTGCAGTAGGAAAAACAAGGACCTGCTTGCTGCACCCGTACAAAATGCCCAAATCACATCAACCCTCCACCTGTTGTTCACAGAAAACCCTTGTGGCTTCCTTTGTTTTACTGTTACTTTCTTCTTTTCCAGTAACGCAAAAGACCTCTCTTTTTGCACTAACCGCTTCCCTCGTACCTTCTGCAGCATGGTGGCCGAGAGTGACCCCCAACGGTCCAGCTCACCCACCTTCCGCACCATGAGCATGTGAGCGCGGTCAGTGTGAAATCTGGCAGAACGGACAGGACTGTGTGTTTTTATGGCCCCCTTGCACAACCTCCTGAGTAAGCACTTGTTTTGCATTCAAAAAGGGAAAGGCAGAAAGCAGAAGAGCCCACCACCATGGCTTGAACCAGATGACTTAATACTTTTGAAGATTACTGAAATCTCCCAGCTGATAAGACAGCTTTTCGGGGTCACTGGAAATACCTGCATACAGACCCCTGCTCGTTATCCCTAGGCTCTTAGCAGGGCCTGTGCAAGATGACCCCAGCAAGCCACAGTGCTCAGGATTTTGGTCTCATGCAAATGGGTCTTCTGCGAGTGCAGAGCTGTCCCTCCAGGGCACACCTGGAGGGGTACCTTGGAGCATGTCCCCTGCTGCCTTCCCCAAGAGAAGTTCAAATTGTGCGCAACATTCACAGAAGCTTTATTCAGCTCGGCAACCCTCAAAGATCTGCATTAAAGTGCACAAAAACAGCCATCTGCCTCTGCAGCTCATTTAGCCAGGCATTCAGCAGCCGTCTGCGAGGTTGGCTGCAAAGGGGGAGGGCGTGACTGTCACTGGATGGAAATGGGGAAGGGAGACAATATACCAGCCTGTTCCATTATACCAGCACATCCCACTGCTGGTTGGGTAACGTCCAGGTCTTGGTTTTACAGCCTTTTCCTCTCCAGTGGAGGAAAAATAGTCCGCTCTAGTTGTAGAACTAGAATGAACCCATTCACTGTGGACCAACCCAAGCCCAGAGAGATATCAAGGACATTTGGACACCAGCTTTAGTAGTACCAGGACACAATCCCGCACCAAGGGCCTGCTGTTTGGGGGATTAAAAACAACCTTATCCAGGTTGAGTTTAGTGAAATGCCTTCCTGTTACTGCAACATGAAGGACTTGCTGTAGTGCCCTGGACATGTCAAGCCTTTACTCATACAAGCAGCAGTCCCTTTCAGTTCAACAGCACTCCCGGACCAGGACGGAGACTGTTCAAATGACCCGATCTAACATTTGCCAACCGGATGCAAGAAAATCCAAGCGGAATGAGTCACTTCTTCCGGCTTTCACTGCCTTTTAAAGTCTATCTTTGGAAGGCAAGACAAGTCAGTTATAATCTAGCTGCTAATTAGCTAGTGGCCTCCTTCTGTGAGCAAATCAAGAAATCCTCCCTCTGTTCTGCATCTGCAGCAAAATCATACTAAGTTTTATGTTGCAATGGAGGACTTTTCTCCCTGTGCTCCACCAGGCTGGCATGGAGACATGATGCAGGGGCCAACTGCAGGCCTCTGAGAGAAGAGAGAGCAGATAACCAGTAAAATAGCTGATAACACCTGCAAGATACCGGGTGGCTTGGCCACAGGCTATAAGAAAAATCTGCTTGTGGTGTACGACAGAGTTTGCATGCCCTTTTTCTTCTGTGGAAGAAATTTCTGCAGCTGTTGGATGGGGGTTGCTGCCCCTAGATCACCCCTGAAAGAGCAGTCCCCAGGGCTGGCGAATAAGCAGCACAGAAAGCTGCTGGGCAGAGCCATGCTCCCCGTGGTAAGGATGGAGAGTGGCAAGAGCTGGGACACGGTCCCAGTGCTAAGCAATTTTAGGATGGGTGCACAGAACTCTTCTCATCCTAGAAAGACCCCAGGGGCTTCCAAAGATCTCTTGTTTCAGAGCCTCACCATGAGGTTACGGAAGTGTAACTCAAATCATGGCCATGTGAGAGACAAGGGCTGGGGTCATGCAGAAGTCCTGGCCCACCCACAAGTGCTTTGAGAGGACCTGGGGCCTTGGCAGCCCTTTCCCACATCCTTGCATTGCTCCTGGGGCTGAGGTGCTACTGCCAGAAGACGGAGCATACAGGGGCGGGTGTGTGTGTCTTTTTAGAGGCTGATGCGGGCCTGAGTCCTTGGGCTGGCAGGACACAATGCTGCACCTCCATCCAGATACACTGGCAACAGCCATTCTCAAACTATTCTTCTCATGGCTCCTCTAATCCTCTCTTGAGATACATGCTGCACCCCTTCCCCAGCGCAAGATCTGGCTTAGCCCTCTCCTTCCACTGTACCTGGAGCCAGGATACTTACCCAAGGAGGCCACTCCAACCAAGTGCCTGTGGGTGGGCACAGCTCTCTAGGGAGCAGCCCCAACCTAGAGCTGCCCCTGGACCTCCTGCTCTGTTCCAAGAGTCACGCGGTCCCCTAGCGTGGTGTGAATAAACCATTTCTCTCAACGGGCCTTGTTAGCTAAGGCTCAGCAGCTACCTGGTCCAAAATAACTGCCTGGCTGTAATGCCCGAGAGGAGACTTTACAGAGGTCATCTGTACAAGCTAGGCTTGCTCTTTACCTAGCACTTCATTAAATAGTTCAGAAGGTAACTGAACTAACATCCTCAATGAGGATGTTACTAGCCCTGTGCTAAGAATTCAGTATATCCAACAGAAAATACCAGCATAGTCACAAATCTCTGTCACGCTTCCGATCTGATCCGCTAGGAGGCTGGACACTGCACTTTAGATCCCTCCACTCCTATTCCAGTGCTTATAGGTCTTATCTTGGCTAGATTCTCCAGATAACAGTTTCCCCACATTATGTCAGATTATCCAGTTCTTCATCCATATCTCTGCCACGGCCATCACCTACCTCAAGAGATACGAAGTCACTCAGCTGGCTTCAAAACCTGTTTTCCCCAGACTCCACCTCATGAGGACTCATTACGTCTCCCGCCCCCTGTGCTTGCTTCAGCAACAGAGGGAGAGGTAGCTCAGGGAGACTGGCACAACCAGTCAATCAGTGGCTGCAACGGAGATGGGATTGAGCACTTGCAGGCTAAGACTTAATTTTGCAAACTGGTACCTCTGCAAACTCAGCTGGACTGCTGAGGCCTGCTGTATACAATTCATATAGTTCATATTTTGTGCCAAACCTCCTGGGAAACTTATCTATGCTGAGCTGGTTTTATCTGTCTGGTAGGAGGAATCTAGGAGGAAATTCCCAACACACACTGCCATGTTCTACCTACAGCAGTAAGAGTATAGGGAGAGGAGGGTTTTTTTTTTTTTTAATTAGACTAGCTGCTCTGCCTGGAAGATACAGATGAGTCTTTGGGCTAAGTGGTCCTTCACTAAAACAAGATGAGTTAGAACAGAGTAGGTTGCAAGTGACCTCAGGAGGTCACTGGTCCAAACCCCTACTCAACGTAGAGACATCTTTGAAATTAGATCCGACTTCTAAGTTAGGTCAGGTTTCTAACGGTCCAGCTAAGTTGTGAGCATCTCCAAGGATGGAGATGCCACAGTCTCTCTGGGTCCCTGTTCCAGGAGTGGAAAAGCCTTTACTGGTTGGAAGTGACCACAGCCAGGGCAGGGAATGAGCTCCCACAAGAGATTGGACTCTCATGTCCTTCGCATCCTCCCAATGCACTCCTTTTGCTGCCACAACTTCTGGGAGCACGTGCTATGTGAACCGCAGGGCTCTAAACTAAATTCAGGACAATAGCGTCTAGGTCCTCAAAGAAATGCCCAAATGCCAAGCTATGTGTGCAGCAACAGTGTCCAGCACCCACACAAATGCTCTGTGAGTCCGCTGAATGTGCTTTTCATCCTGTGCCTCCTTGACACCACGTCGACCACTTCGACTGACAAGCCTTGCATCTGCCCCCCTGGAATAGGTCTGCCATGGGCCACCACACTCCCACAACACTGACTTGATCCTTGGTGACACAAGATTACAGCCTTCCAGCCAAGCATCAGCAATAGAGGCTGCCAAACAAAAATAAAACAGATTGCAACAACCTTGTGGTCGTGCATGGGAACGCATCACCTGCCTAACAGGGAGCTGCAAGGCCAAAGGCACAGGCTATGAGACTGCCCAAGACACATTCCTACCCTCCCCTTCCTGAAGGTCACGCAGAGGCCTCCCCAGCATGCAAAGATGCTGCCAGGCTTACCTGGTACAGTCAGGACTGATGGGGAGATGTGGGGCTTCGCATTGACTTGGATGTTGTTACGAAACCAGTAGATCTCCACAGGCTCTGGCGGGCCCACGGCTTGACACGTGAGATTGAAAGGGCTGTTCTTGGTGACATTCAGCTTCTCCGGCTGCTGAATGAAGTGCGGGAGCCCTGTTCGGACACAAGCAGAGAAGCAAGAGATTCAGAGATCACAGCTTCACGCATGTGGGCAATGCCTGTAACAAAAACCCCCAAACTGTCCTGCCTGGGGCTGTCCCCAGCTCTGGCAATAACCCCCTTCCCATCCAATACTCTCCATTTCTGGTGGATAGCTAGCAGCTGTCAGCTCCAAGGTCACAGCCTCTGGTTCGGCCTCTCAGACAGGTCTCAGGAGATCTCATACTTCCAACACTTTTAGCCTTGCTCTCTTCCAGCTCACCTTCTAGCTGCACGAAGATTGGATCTGATGCAATCTCCACGTCGGAGATATTGAGTTTGCAGATGTAGGAGCCGTTATCTGAGCGCTGGGCAGCCTGGATGCTACAAGAGAGAATGGAGACCACATAAGGGCTCTTACAGGGAAACTTGTCCTGCAAACAGCTTCCACAGAAGGCACAGCAATACTGTCAGGCTGGAGGTGGGGTTTGAATTAGTGCCAGCTACCCCACAACACACATCTAACAAAAGCTGGGTTTCCAAAATTAGGCTTCGAGGACTAGGGAAGGCCAGAATGAAGATTACGTTTGCTCCTGGCTGCTCTGCTGGATGTGCAGACCTCAGCCAACAAGGTACAGCAGTTCGCTTTCCTTCACTGTTCTTTCAGGATAGCGCCTAAGAAGAGTCAAGCTCTGGGTATTCAGGGACAGCAAACTTCAGTCCCCCCACCAGCCAGTTTTCCGCAAGCACCAATCGCAGTCCCAACCTCCTGCTCTTGCCACCTGTCTGGCCTCCAGCCTCTCCCCAGGAGCCAGCACTCAGGGGTCCACAGGAGCCCCTCCTCCCCATCTGCACAAGAAGAACTGCACCGCTTACCTGACGGTGGAGGTCATCGCTACCTCCTCCTCATCGGAGATCTCGAAGTGGCTGGTAGCGATGCGGTCCAGCATGTGCAGTTCCCTCCCATCCTTCCACAAGGAAATGCCAGGGGTGTCTGGCCTGACCAGCGAATGAGGGACTTTAATGGAGCAATTGAACGTGATGTCTTTGTGCTCATTAATCACAATGTGTCCTACTGTGGGGTTAAATTTAATCTGTCCTAGAGAGCTGGTGGAAGGCTCTTCTCCGGTCTGCTTTGTGCTCTGGTGAGGCCAATGGCTAACGGGAGCAATGCCTCTCTTGGCACGGTGGGACTCTGCTGACAGTGCTCCTGCTAATAGCGATAGATAGGGCCTCAGGCCTTGATTTCTGTCAGCATCATCTGCAAAAAAAGACCCCAGTTTTGTTAGCACCAGCCACTAACTCTCCTAAAAGCCCCCCCCCCAAAAACCCTGCAAAGCCCAACTGCTTCAATTAATAATTAAAGGTTGTTCATTTACAGACGCACCGAAAATTTGGAACCTCTAAGAGACATCTTCTCAGAGCCCCAAGGAGGTTACTTGGAGCTAGGGGCTGTCCCAAGACTGGATGTACAGGAAACACCTCCAAAAACCCCTTAAAACAAACCAGAGGGCCTAAGCTAAAGAACGTGCTCAGTTGCTTACGTTTCTCTTTGGCAGGGGAGAAGTAGGAGCTGGAAGCATCTATTTCTGCTGAATCGCTCCCTCGGGACTGGAAAATAAAAGGATCCTTGAGCAGGAGGAATTTGGGACACAGTGCTTCAGTAAAGCCTTTTTGGGGGCCTCTCTCAGGCACTTTCAGCTGACTACCCTGCCCTTGCTAATCGTGCAGATAGCATGAAAAACTGTAGCGGCGCTTCTGCTCATACCCAGCATCTCCCCAACTGCCCACGCTCCAACTTGCCCGTGCCGCCCTCTGACTGAGTCTTCCACAGCCAGCTGGCAAAACAGAGGCACATGTTTTGGAAGGAAAAGGAAGCTGCGGCCGTGGCAACAACACAGGAGCGGGATTTGAGTTTGGCCGTCTCTAGCCAGCTCTGACCCACACCTGCTTTCGCCGGACCCACCACCCTTGACATGGGCATCCTGGGCTTCAGCTGTCCAGACGTCAGATGGCCAAAATGAGATGAGTTGCACCCTCTGCGGTCAAAGGGCTGGATGAGAAAAGGCATCCAACTGACCTGTGCAGCATTTCAGGGGCATTTTCAGGGGCACCGGGTGATGTAAGCTGATCCTGCAGCATTTGGTTCAATGAACATGACAACAATGAAGAAGGAAAAGGCCTCCGGCAGAGAAAGAGCCCCAGGAGGGGATCTGCGTGCCTGTTTTTAGGCAATTTGCACCCAGGAGAAGGTGAGTTCAGCAGCCGGCAGCAGCAGCCTTTGGAGCAGGGGGGACGCGCCGGCTTGTGAAAACCAGGTAAGCGCACAGAGCAGAGAAAGCGTTTTGGGGTATCTTGGCACGACTGCTCCGCGCAGCTGGGAGCTGCTGTGTAACGGAGAGACACTCTGGGAATCGGTCGCAAGAGCGTTTCTGCAAACTGCCTTCGCTGAGTTGCTTTCAGAGCGAAAATAACTGCAGATGTAAGGCGAAAGGCCTCCCAACGGTGTGTAGGAGCCGGGTGCTATTTAGCCTTTGTTTCCCCAGGGCCGCATTCCGCTCTGCAGACTATATTTTTCCAGACATTTTTCCCAAGAGAAGATTATTTACCAGATCTTTCGAAGGGCTTCATTCCCCCATCTACAAATTCCTTAACAGACAGAGTCCTTCAACTGCGTTTTCCTCCTCCCTCCCAGCACTGCCCACACCAGCCCCCAGCTAGATGAATTGCTCCATAAAAAAAGCAGTTCCTCCAAAACAGAACTTTTCAGAGAGGAGATCTAGAGAACAGTCCACAAATAGCTGCTTTCACTAGATCGTTCCCAAGCTTCTTGAGGTTTTCCCAGGTATACAAAAAACCCTCTGGGATCAGGAAACCTACCTTGCTGCTTTCGACAAACAAGGGCTTGGTGCCAGACCGGAATTGTGTCTAAATTCGTTTGCCGCTTCTTCGGAAAAAAACGACTTACGTTTTAAAAAGGAGTAACGCAGGTATAAAACCCAATCTTTTTACTCCAGCCAGAGTTCAGCTGAGTTTGCTCTAAGGCAAGCGCGAGTCCCAAAACATCAAACAACTCCAAAATGTTAAAGCTACGTCATTACTATTGTGAGTAATGGAGCATGAGTCTAGTGTGCTTTACGGAGCGCCAAGAAACACAACCTAATTTTGAGGCGGCATATACTCCTCTGCTAAATTGCTCGCTATTTTTAACTCTAGAGAAATGAGACTTCTAGACAGAAACTTGAGAAGAGTTTTAAAGTTTGCCTAGTCTGGTCTTAGGGAGGAAAGAGAAAACGCTCTCGCAAAAAAAAAAAAAACATGTTTTCTTTTTTTGGGGGAGGGGGAGAGACTGAGCTTTTTAAAAGTGCTTCCTAATCTTTACTATCCTAACACAAACAAAGGCCATGTGACCGCTGCTAAACTTGCAGCCTGTTGCAATTTACTTAGGTGCCGCTGAGCCCGCTGGCCAGGCGACCAGCTTTAAAACGGCCAACCGGCTCCAAAAAGATTTGTCCAAAGCAAACAAGCCAGCGAGCGGGCCCCAAAGCTCCCCTCCCTTCCCTCCCTCCCGCCAGCGGAGGTTATCCAAACTGGAGGCATTCACTTCCTGACACCAGTCCGACCCAGCAGGCTTTTCTAATCACCCAATTCACGAAAAGCACGCGCTTGGTTGAAACAGCAAATTTCATGCTCCGTTTCAAGGCGTTTCAGCTCTCCTCCGAGCTTTGTGCGGCCCTCAGCAATTCCCTGAGGCTCTGGGGATTCCTGCACGGGGAGGACACGGACCGAACACGCGCGCGCCCGCGCTTGCGGTCTCTGCCCACGTAGCCCGTGGGGCCCCGAAAAGGTTCGTCTGATTTCTCTTCCCCAGCAGCTCCCCCCATAATCTCCGTTGCTTCGAGTTTAAAGAAAAACTTCAAAGAGCAAAGGGGATCTTGGCCACAGTTGCTGTTTTGATTATCTAGGAAAAAGATGCTTGCTGGCTCAGGGATGAAATACTTGCTTCTTTGTACTCTGACTTAGGCAACAACAGCAATTTCTCAAATCTAGAGCTGTCTTTTTAAGTACCCCTTCCATACCTTGCCATTTGGGATACAGCTAATCCTTACGGCGTCTTAGAGGGGATTCGCCCTGTATTGCAGGACACCTCTTACTGTGTCCAGAGCAATTTGCTCAGGATCGCACTAAAAGCTCGTACTAGAGCAAAGGAGCTGAAACCAAGCCCTGAAAGTCCTGCATGGGTGCCTGAGACGCTGGAGTAGCCCTCTTTCCTTACTCCAGCTTGGACTGAGAGAGCAACGGGCATGGGTAAAAAAAAAAAAAAACTACTTGCAAGCAAAATGCTGGTCTCTTGAAACATCTGGAACCAACATCTGGAACCGCAGCAAAACCAAAGTGTGGCAATGCCACATCCTAACGTGCAGCTCAAGCCCTAGGGGCAGAATGACCAACCGCTGTGACGAAGCAGATATTAGAGAAATAAAGATGCTCAGTGTACACCCAGCAGGTCCTGCACTCCTCTTCTGTTCCCAGCCTAGAGAACAAAGTCTTACCAAGCAAGTCTGCCTATTATCAGAGGCGAGATACTTTACTGCAGATTGAAACAATAAATGGGAAATTACATACCCCACGCCTGAAACAGTTAAGCCATTCTACTACCGTCCCAGTAAGGAACGTATTAGAAAACATACAGATCTGCCAAAAAAATCACTACATCTGTAGCCCTGGCTTTCCCATTACTGGAAATAATTCACCTGATGACGACAGCCTTCTGCTCACACACTTGTTGCAGCGCATCTTCACATTCAGGAACGTGATAGAAGGAGGTGTAAAGAGCATTTGCACCTCAGCCCGTGGCATTTCCTATCTTCCTCGGGGAGGTGTCAGAAGAAGCGAATTTTCCCAGGGGCTACGCTGCACTTCCAAAGTGACTCGCTGGGTTCAAACACTGCTTTTTTATGAAACATTCCCTGATCGCTGTTTAAATCTGAAAACAGCTTTGAGCTCGCACTATTGCAGATGCCTGCTGTTACAGTCAAGACTTTTACCTTACTCTGCCCAAAACACACATTTGCACTACTGCCACCTGTACCGAGAATCACATCCTCACACTGACACCAAGATATCCGGCAACCCCTGAATACGGACTTATTATAAACCCGTAAGAGCTCACAACCTGCAGCTGTGCACCAGGCAGCCCTGAGCATGGCACGCTGCCTTTAAGTGCAAAACCTGCTTGCTTCTTTGCATGTCTTTTCCTCGGTGATAATGCGAAACTGAAAACGGGGACTGACAGCACCAGGACTTCCTCCGCAAGACTGCGCGCACCTGACCCGGGCTCCTTGCGAAAGGCTCCCTATGGATCCAGCTACTTCTCTTTCGGGTCGACAGAGCGGGCTGCTGCCAGAAACTCGCAGGGCCACCGCGGCCGAGCCTCCCTACCAGCATTTAATCGTTGCCCACGTCGCTGAAGCCCGCGGGCCCAGCGAGCCGGGCTGGGCTGGGCCGTGGGTGCCGGGGGGCC